GGGGGCAGGACGAGGATCATGGAAGCTCTCCAGATTAAGTTCTTTGCATCACATGGAGGTGGGGGTGCCCTTGATTGCAAGCCTCCTTAGCTAAGGCAGCCTTTCATGGAGCCTATGTGTGCGCATGCACACACATGCACACACCCGTATCTACCTCTAATTTGCTGAGAACTTTCCTGGTTTCACCTTGGTGGCTATCCCTGAAGCCCTCTGGTCTCAAGCTAACTGACCCTTGAGGCTGAGCCAGGATTGGCTTTGCCTTTAATAGTCTCCACTCCCATCCTTGGTTCCTTGTCAGTTTTTTGACTTCCCAATTTCTCCTCCTGGGAGCCCCATTCTGGGGCTCTTCTATCTCCCCAAATGAGAATGACTGGCCAAATTCACACACACACACACACACACACACACACACACACACACACACACACACACACACTCCAAATCAAAATGAAACAAAAACAAAATGGAAGAAACGTTCTCGGATCACAAAGATCATAGTGTTGGGTTGCTTAAGGTCATAGGACAGAGGCTCTGGGAGGGGACTGAACCTCAAGGTCTGCAGCCTCAAGATCAAAAGCTACTCTGGTTGAGAACTGCTCCTCCCAGAATGCAAGGCCAACAGCACAGCCCCCACGCAATACCACAGCACTGAAAGGTCAGTGCCAAGGCCATTGGCTGCAAACCAGTTTCTGCTTGCCAGACTGCACCTGGGAGGCCTTACAGCCTCTGCCACACCAGTGGGCTTACTATGGAGATGGGATATCAAGCATCAGGGATCAATGTTCAAGGGGGGGGACCTTCAGCATTACAGGTAGACACTGGAGAGGGAGCAGAGCACAGTGAGAGACTGAAGAGTCAGACTGGTGAGGCCACAGAGCAGAGGGTAGTATAGCAGAAGTTTCCTGTCCCGACCACCCAGTCCCAAAGAACCGAGTCAGATGCTTAATATTACTTATAAATGCTCAACCGATAACTCAGGCTTACTACTAACTAGCTCTTACATTTTAAGGTAACCCATATTCCTTATTTGCACTCTGCCATGTGGCGGTACCTTTATTAACATGGCACGTTCATCTCCTGGTCCTTCTGCATCTATCTGGCATCTCCTCACTCCACCCTTCCTCTTCCCATCATCCTTAGTTTGGCCGCCCCACCTATACTTCCTGCCTCCCTACTGACCAATCAGTGTTTTATTTTACCAATTCAAGTGACAAATCTTTACAGTGTACAAGAGGATTACTCCACATTGGCGTGGGATCCAGAAAAGAGAGTGGCTCAGACACCAGGTAGGAAGACTACAAAAGCCATTAGATGTGGTCACTCTAAAGTCACCAGTGATATAGAACTGGCAGGAGAGAGAGAGAGAGAGAGAGAGAGAGAGAGAGAGAGAGAGAGAGAGAGAGAGAGAGAGAGAGAGAGAGAGAGGGAACCTGAGGAAGAGAGCAATGAGGAGAGGAGAGGAGAAATGGAGGTAAATGATGTAAGCAAGGTCCCCTCAGAGGCCCTCTAGAGAGACTGAATGCAGGGGACAAGGCAGGGCGGAGCAGGAGGCAGGCTTTGGTGTGGCAGGGGCTCTTCTGAAGATAGGGTCCTGATGGAGAAGGGAAGGCAAACAGAAACAGGAACTGTCAGCCAGTCCCATCTTGCAGCAGGATCCACACCCAGGCAGCAGAGAGCTCTGGTTTCCTTTAAAGAATCTCCCTGAGGGTTGCCCTCATGTGTCAGGCCCTTTATCAAGTGAACATCAATGGTGTAATTAAGATGTCTGCCCACACAGCATTCCTCAAGTAAATCTTCTTGACAACTAGCTCAGCAGCATCCTTGGACCAATGAGGAGGGCCAGGTTCAATTTTGGGAAAGGTACCGACTAGCTCAACCTGTCTGAGGAATGTAAGCAAGTCAGTCTACTGTGCGCATAGACATACTCTAAAATGCAGCTGCACAACTCTGTACCTGTAATAAATACTGAATTATACATTTCGTATGAGTGAGTTTTGTGGTACAAAAATTCTATCTCAACAAAGGTGTTTTATTTTTTAAGATCTGAAGAGATGGCTCAGCAGCTAGGCACGTTTATTCCTCTAGCAGAGGACCAGGTTTGGCTCCTATCACCCATTTGGTGGCTTACAACTAGCTGTAACTCCAGTTCCAGAGAACTGACTCCCTCCTCTATCCTCCATGGGCACTGTACGCATCCGATGCACAAAAGTCTCTTCACCTCATGACCACGTTGCCCAACAAGAACCAAGAAGAGGGGAGAGTTGAGAAGCAGTGTGAGAAAAGACTTTTACTAAAAATACCCAATACTCCCCAGCCTTGCCGACTGCCTACACCCAATGTTGGCAGCATAGTTCTGGCTATAAGACCAGGACTGGGTTGGGTTTCACTACTGTGAACCAGAATTCAAACCCCAGCACCTGGTAGCCCATGGAACACACGGTGAGTGCAGCCAATGCTTGTTGAAGTGATGGAAAGAAGGGTGCAGGTGGAAGACAGATTTGTTTTTCATGTCATAATTTAAGAAAATGTATATGGAAAAAGACTAAGCAGAGACCCCTTAGGTTAGTCACAGACTAAGTCACAGACTAAGAAGTGACAGACCTGCCCCGTATGCCTTTGCACATCTATAAATATTTTTCTAAGCACTGTGAGGCACCATGGTGGCTCTGCTGAAAGTCATTGATCTCAGCAAACCATGTCACATGGCAGAAGGGAAGGGGGAATAGAAGGCAGAAAACCAGCTGGAAACCAGGCTCCAAACAAGGACCTTGGATTCCTTGACCTCGTTTTGTCTCCACAAATACTATGACAAGGGAATTTATTATCCCAGCTTGCTGATGAGGACATCCCGTCTTATGGGTATAAGCTGATAAGAGGGAGACTCAGAATTTGAGCCTACGTCTTTCTAGTGGTAAAAATCTAAACTCTTTTCATAGCTTCATGATAAGTCAAGAACTAAAGATAGAGGGAATTAAAGAGGATCTGTTGACCACATCTCCTTGGAAGCAGCAGGAAAAGCAATGGGTATGAACACGAGCCTCAGACAAACAAGTCTGATTGAACCTTCTGAACAATGACTAATGATGTGGCCTGGAGTGTGTTGCCACTTTCCCTGGGTCTCGATTTCCTCCTGCACACAATAGCGATAATAACAGTGTCCCTCTCATCAGGCTGCTATGAACACAAAAAGAATTAGTGTTTATGAAGCGCTTAGCAAAGGGCCCAGTGCACAGCAAGTACTCCACAGAGATCTGTTGCCCTTACTGACTCTACACACTCAGCAACTACACTTATCACATAGTTCGGGCAGGTCTGGGCCCATGCCTGAAACAACACCTCCAGTTTCCCGTCCTGTTGCACACCCACCTGCTTCTGTCCCGAGGCTACTGCAATGCTGCCCTCTTTCCCTGGTTCCTACCGCCAGCTTCTCTCCCTTTTACAAGATAATCTTTTTCTGACTCATGTTAAAGAATGGGAGGAGAAGAGGAGGAGTGGTTTTTTGGCATAAAGAGAGCACAGGTGAGCCATGCATGAAGATAGGGCTAGGCTGGGTCCAACTGACACCAGAGCACCTACCTCACAAATGGGAATAAAGCAGAGGGAGGAATTGGACTGCATGATATATAGACCTTAGAAGGTCAAGAAAAGAAACTTGGAACTTCATTTGAGGGTGGCATTTAGGGTTTTGGGAAGATTAGCCTGACCACATATGGAGGCTGGCTTGCAAAGAGAGAAATGGGTCAAGGAGTAAATTATCAGTGGGCTGAAGAGTCCCACGGTCAGACACAGGTAGGTGTTCAGTGAGGGTAAAGGAGGGTATTTAGGTTGCTGTAACACACGTGTATCCGTACCTGCTGATCTATGCAATGATTATTTAACTGCTGAGAGAATACATAGGCCATAGCACTAACAGGTCTTTGTTGTATGGTTGCCCTGTACCTGACACTTCAATAAGTGCTTGTCTTAGGGTTCCTACTGCTGTAATAAAGACTATGACCAAAAGCAACTTGGGGAAGAAAGGCTTTGTCTCAACTTACAGTTTGTGCCATGTCACGGTCCCTCAAGGAGGGAAGGCGGGGCAAGAACTCAAGGCGAGACCTAGGGGCAGGAACTGAAGCAGAAGCTGGTGGAGAGGCACTGTTTACTGGCTTTCTCGGCTCACATATAGCATCCGGGACCACCTATCCAGGGGGTGACATTACCCACATCAATCATCAGTCAAGAAAATGTCCCACAAGGTGTACAGGTCTATCCAATGGCAGCATTTTCTGAATTGGAGTCTCATCTTCCCTAGTGATTCTTTCTCCTGTCAAGTGACATAAAACTAGCTACTTCATGAGCACTAATTTATTTTGTGCTCGTATAAATCTTATTAGAGAGATGCTATTAAAATCTCCACTTTAAAAAAGCAGAAACTAAGACCTGGAAAGATTGGCAACCAACTCAAAGTTACATCTCACATTGTTAATAATACCACTGACATGACTTAACCAGGATTTATGACATCCCAGAGTTCATGTTGTCCCAATTATGCCATATACTCAATCCTGCAGTGAGCTTTCTGGCTCAGACTTGCCTAGATTAGTGCTCTTTTAATAGGAATATCAGGGCAGTCTACAATCACGGAAATAGCAGACAGCCCTGAGGTTGATGATGAGGTGATGAATGTAGAATCCAGGCTCACTCACAAACTAAGGGATGTTGGGTGTGAGCTTATTTTGTATCTGTAACTCAGGGCTTACAATCCATCTTCCATGCCTGGTACAAAGAATTCAACAGCCTACAGAACATCTCCTTACAAAGTCAATAAATAGTAGTTAATGACAATATAAATATATTATTAAGAAGAGGGAAGCCAGGGCAGGCTGAGGAGATGGCTAAAGATCAAGCCAGATAAGGAGCAGTTTAGTACCGGCTGTGTCTACTTGATGTGAAGAGCCATACTAACCATCTTCAAATGAACATAGTGTTGTCAGGTAATGGAGACAAAGAAGACCCACCTGGTGTGGCTCAGGGCAGCAGAACTCATACGAAGGAGACTGTAGAAGATTCTTGCCACCGGACATAAGCCATGTCAAAGCGGTTTCTTTAGGAGGTGGTGGAATGCTGTCCCTGAAGGTTTTCCAGGGGAGGCCTGTGAGATCCATGAGAAGAAAAGGACTGCAGCAATCGCCCTCACGCTCAGGCATGCCAGTATTACCTATGGGGCTTAAAGCCTGGCTCTGTGCCCAGGATCTTGGCTTCATCCTGCTGGGGGCAGAGACAGGGAGTCTGTGTCTCTGGTTGGTTCTCAGGTAGTGCTGCTAGCCCAGAGTCTGCAGCCTGAGAACTTCTGTACAGCAGCTCCTAAGTGCAGGGTCATTTGGTCAGCCTTGGCAACCCTTCCAGAAATTATAGGGGACTGGAAAAAATAAGTTGTCCCAAGTCTTTCGTCTTGGTGAATGTATTTAATCTTCCAAAACAAGAATAAAAAAAAAACCTCTCCAGGCAAAATGGACTTGTTTCTAGAGAGCAGAGGATTGGGGAGGTGTACCAGTTTGGAGAGGCTGCCTCCATCTTGGCACCTGCACCCCAATCACCAAGTCACCATATCAGTGTCTTTCCTCCCCATACGATGAGGATGAGGTAATCTTGCTTCTTCTGAATGAAGACACCCCCTGCAGCCCCAAAGTAAACATTAAAAAGAACATCTTAAAGAGTCCCAAGAACACTCACAGTCAGTTGTCTGTTTTGCACACATTTATAAACACTTTATATGAAAAGCCCTCTCTGTCCAGTGATGCTAGTTCTAGCCGCACAGGAAATAAAAGTCTGCCAGCACTGTGTGTGCACGTGGGTGCGTGCATGCATGCCTCTGTGTGGGGGGGTGAGAGTGTCTATGGATGTGGTATACATACATGAGTGCACCCCCACCATTCACTCACATGTGGAGGCCAGAGCAGGACACGAGGTGTCTTCCTCTCTTGCTCACCTCCTCATTGCCTTGAGACAGGACGTCTCACTGAAGCAGACATTCTCCATCTCTAGTTAAAACGCTGTCAGCAAGCTCTTGGGATCCAGCGTCTCCACCACGAGTGCTGAGGTTATGAACACAAGCATCCATGGCCAGCTTACTGCCGGGACGTTCCTCCTCTAGTCTCCCTTGATGTGCGGTCTCCTCCTTCCTCTTTCTCTTTCAGACACAGATGGAGATGGTGGAGTTCTCCACACAGTTCTGAGATGGTTCCATGATTCCATGACTGCTTAGTTCTGTTGGTGGTGGTCTGGGTTTTTAGCAAACCAGTAAGTATTTGGAAATGAGGGAAAATATTAAACTCTCACCAGTGGTTGGTGTTACAGTTAAATCAATGCTGACCTTGAATATAGAAGGAAAAAGAAGAAGAGGGGAGAAGGAAGGGATCAGGGAGGAAGAGAACGAATGTAATTACTGTTCCTACTAAGGGGTTGGGGATGGAGCCCAATGGTAGAGTACATGCCTAGCACACAAAAGCCCTATGTTTGATATCCAGAACCAAAAAGAAAAAGGAAGGAAGGAAGGAAGGGAGGGAGGGAGGGAGGGAGGAAAGAAGGGAGGGAGGGAGGGAGGAAGGACGGAAGCGAGAGAGGCAGGAAGGGGGAATAGAGGAACGAAGGAAGGTCACTGTTGGAGGGTTAGCATCAAGTGAGCTGTGACAGTCTAGAGTACAATTTAGCAAGTGTTCTTATGTGACTAATCTTCAAGCCACACTTTAATGAAGTCCCTTTCAAATGCTCACACTTTATATCTGTGGGATGGTGTCACCGGAAGTGACAGTCCACCTAACCAAGAGAGAAGGCTCAAGTGCTGCAGAGAACCATACTCCAGCTTCACTGTTTGCCAGAATAAGACAATAGCAAATTACTTAACCTCTCAGAGTCTGAAGGTCTCCGTTTACCTAGAATAACCCCTCAAGCTGGTTGTAAAGACCAAATGATCTGAGACATTGTACTTTACACATACATCCAAGAAATGCCAAGACTCTGGTGTTTATTTAGCTTCTTAATTGGGAGAAAAAGACTGCATTCATTAGGCTGTATTTATCGGGAAAAGAAATGCTGAATTGCGTTTAGGAAGAGTGTTATGTAGTCCAAGTATCACAGGCTTTATTCTTAATTTCCGGTTAACCCGTGAAGTTGATACTCAAAGCACCTATTACCATATTCTGACTGACCCTGTTTTCACCCTTCATCAACTCTGTAACTAATGTGCGGTTATAAGGAGATTCCTGGTTAAGGAAGTCGCTTTGACTCTAGGAAAAATTAACAATTGGCTCAAGATTATTTCCTCTGTGATGACATTTCTACGACCTTCAGGGTCTCTCCATGTGTGACTGAGAACAGAGAAGTAATGCCAGGAGCTCATGGAGAGGAGACTGCAATTCCAAAGAGGCAGCAGGAAGGAGGTATTGGACCTTTCTGTACTCTCCTTGTGTGGTAATTGAGGGAAGCCTAACACACTAAGGTAAGCTGTCTTACCGTACATTCACTTAAAGCATGAATTACCAGCCACAGCCAAGTTTAAGTGGGGGTGGTGGCTACTGTTCTTGTGTAGACAGCAGCCCAAAGGGTTAGAGCTTCTACAGAGAGGGAGAAAGAAAGAATCAGAAGTCCAAGGAGGCAAGCAGGAAGGAGAGTGACATAAGCCACTGCTCTGAGGATGCATTCATTCCTTTTATTTGACAGCTGCTCCTAAAAATGAATTTCTAAAATCTACTTTTATGGGCTTCCTTCCTCTCTTCCCAAGGATAAAACTACCCTAATTAGTAATTTTCAGTTTCTCCTACAAAATACTCAACGCTAGTTAATTTGTAAGTTAAACTTGCTGTCCAGAATACAGTACAACTGAACTTTTCTAAAATGCAGTATTTGTTTGAACCCTCACTTCAGACAGGTCCAGGGTGAGACACTGTCACACACACTCTCCTCTGACAGCCTCTCTTGATTGTAGCTTCTAGGTATACAGCATGACACAACCCTGTCATTTTTAATTTTCTAGGAACTATCTTTAAAGACATGAAATAGGAGGCAGCTCACATAAAGGACTTGTCATGCAAGCATGAGGACCCAAGTTCAGGTCCCGAGCATCCATCTTAAAAGCCAAGTGTTGGGGGCAGGAGAGATGGCTCAGCAGCCAAGAGCCAAAGGTTCGGTGCCCAGGACCCACATGGTGGCTCTCGACTATAATTCCATTTCCAGGGGATTCAATACCCTCTTCTGCCCTTCACAAGATCCTGTACTCACGTGACACACATGAACTCATGCAAGCACGCACATGTAAACACATACATACAAAGACTTAGTAAAAAGTTTCCCCAAAGCTCAGTGTGTCAGTGAGCACCTGAAGTCCCAGCGCTGGGCAGGCAAACAGGTGATCCCTTAGCGCTTACTTGCTGGCCTGCCAGCCTACAGCGCCAGGCTCATCGAATGTCACTGTCTCAAAAATGAAGATGGAGAGTGGTTGAGAATGACACTCAACATCGAACGAACTCTGATCTACACACACACACACACACACACACACACACACACCATGCATGAACTTATACCTGCACATACACACACACACACACACCATGCATGAACTTATACCTGCACATACACACACACCATGCATGAACTTATACCTGCACACACACACACACACACACCATGCATGAACTTATACCTGCACACATACACACACACCAAGAAATAAAACCATTAAAAACGTTAATATTAACCCAAAATAACGTAATCACTTTGACATGTGTTACATGAACATGTGTCACACATTTAAAGGACAGTTAAATTTGGACAAGCTACTGATAGCTCTTCAGTAGCTGTCACAGTTGGGAAAGACAGTTCAAGTCTGAACTGCCCCCATTCAAAGAAAACATCCTGTCACTTTGAACTTTGATTGCAATCGACTCTCCAAACTCCCACCTACATTCTTCATTTACCCATTGGTCAATACAGTGGTATGTCTACAATGCCCTAATCACTATGCTACAAACTGAAAACAAAGTGCTGTATTAACAAGGTGTTGTTTGCCCTAAAGCTCCATCTGTAGGAGTGACAGCCACACAAAGGGACAATTATACAAAAATGGAAAGACTGTGAATCTCTGAAGGAAGTACATAAATGTGGCTTTAGAGGTGGCACGGAGGGACCTCCAGGCTGTGTACTGATTTAGTTCAGTGACAGGATGGGGAAGGGCATTCTAGAGACAAGATTCGCCGAAGGCATCGCCATAAAGGATGGCAGGATGGTGTGGGAACGGGGTGGGGCAAAGGTGTAAAGGGGGGGAATCAGGAAAGACAGGCAAGGCAGAGAAGGGTCTGGAACGTGACGACGGGTTTGAAAAAGAATCTCAAAAGCTGCCTTCTGTTCGGGGAAAATGCAGATGCCACCGGGCTTAAGCTTTGGTGAGGTCAGAGTCTGTCCCATAGCCTGGGCCTGATTGCTCCGCAAGGCCAGGACCATGTGCTCGGTTTTCACTCTTAATCCAGGGCTGCGGTGCTCTTGAAGCCCTTTCTTTCTGTCTCCAGGCCTCCATCCACTTTGGCCTCAGCATGGAGGAATGCCACCGTCACCTCTGTGCTTTCAAATTGCTCGACAGGTGGAATTCACGCCCCATCGTGTTTAAAATAGGATCCCAACTACCCACGGTCCAGAACTCCTAAGGGGGTAGTTCAAATGCATTTATGGTAAACGCCTTGAAAATTGAAAAGATGCCGCTCCTAGTCTTGTGCATATGGATTGACAGGACCGGTTCAGGTCAAGGCCAGGGGACTCTCCAGCCAGGGCTGCTGGGTGGTTGTCTGGAGCGCCTCCCACCCTAGGGTGGTAACCCAAAGCACAACTGCCTGACGTGTGCCCAAGGGAGGCGCCGCCTAAGGGGATAGAGATCAGGGTGGTCCTGCAGCCCTCAGGGCGGGAACCCTGCGTCCCGCCTACCCGGTCGCTGGCCGACCCCACGAGCGCCCCCAGCCCAGGTCAGCCCCTCCTCGCGTGCCGGCTAGGAGAAGAGGGTGGAGCAACCCGGCTCCTGCAGCCAATGAACGCAGCGGTTCCCTGGTCCGATCCCCGGCGCGGCTCACCATTGGTCGCCGCCTGGGTCTCG